AAGCAGATATTGGCCCATGAGGACAATTAAATGAATTGTCGCTTCGGTTAGCTCGGAAACTAATGTGGTTCTCATGGTGCAACACGCGCGACAATGATGACGAGAGTAGAAGTGTTGTAATTGAGTTGTTTGCGTCAAAACGCCATGTTTGTACGTGCTTTGGGTACGCTATTCATACATGTGCATCTCCAGCAAATCCTTGTGATGTGTAGATGAAAATGGGACACCAATTGTTGGAATGTCTTGCAGTCTAAGTATGTGAAAAAAGACTTGTTGCTACCATCTGTAACACTGGAGGTTTGGGTGCACATGAGTAATCTGTAAAAAGAAGAGGTTAGTTCTTATTTTTAGCAGTAGCTCGGGCTCTGCATCAAGCAATGGTCTCAGAGCTCGAGGTGGTTCAACGACCGCAATTTTGTGGCTACTGTGGATACAGCGATTCTACACGAGTGCTCTAATGAGAACATATCTTAGCTATTTAAAATTGCTGCTATGTAAAACACGTTTTAGAAGCAGAGGCATGGAGGTATATGTATTATAGTATTAAAGAAGTGGACTATCTTTTTAGTCGCCACAAAATGCGGCTCGTTTGGAATACGCCTTGTATTGTGATGTATCGCTTACTATACGCACTAGAATTAACCCCATCTGTGCAATTAGATGGATCACCTAGATTTCTGAGAAACGCACACGGTTGCATGGTTTTGCAAGACGTGTGCGGCGGACTAGTACCCCCGAGACCAACGCCTTTACCGCAGCTCTTAATGACTGATCTTGAATAATGTAGGATCATTGTCGGAAGATGAACCATGTTAAAACACAATATGCTAGAAGAGACAGACTGAGTAAAGGAATAAAGAGGGTAGGTCATGAACAGTTTAGAATAAAGATCACATCAATCGACCACTACAGCTCCTCATCGCCTGTCTTCCCTGCCTACCGAGGCTTTTTGTGGTGCTGTTTTACCGTATCCCCAGTGATTTCACTGATTGAGGGCCTTTTTCTAGGGCGCCAGTGCGACGCAGTAGGTCCGATGATTAATCCGGGCGCTAGAATAATACTGGATGGAATGTGCGGTTAACCTGCGGTTTACGGATAAAACAACGATTACCAGTTCGAGCGTCTCATCAGTACAGACTTGCCTCGCAACAGTTTTCAGCATCGGCTTCAGTAAAAGGTTACCGGTAGCCGCAAACTATAATGTGGTACATATATATGTACTATACATGTAGTACATGTAGTTACATACATGCAAAGATTACTAGTAGCTACACTGCCGACATATATGTTTGTGCGTGATATTTTTTTTACATCTTCAGATCTGTAATACAGTCGAGCTGAGGGATGTTTCTGGTCAACTATGTAGCTTACAGAATCCTCCATATTGCTAAGCTAACCTTAAGTGCGTTTGCGAGCAAACATCGTCATTTGTAACGGGAAGACAATGCAGTAATGCCAATTCAAAGAAAAGTGAAATAAAATGGCGGTGCGTGGAACCTTTAAGAATATGCCGACGTCTGAACCACAACGAGAAGTACTAGTTTGCGTGCGCGACGACATAGCGAAC